CCCATGATGCGGCGGCCCATCTTTTTGGCGTACCACACAGAGTTGAGCATGTTGATGCCGCCGCTGCTGCTGCGCTGAAGGTGGTGTGTCGCCTCCTCTGCGCCTCCTCGCTCCTGCTGCAGGCTGCGGGGTGGCAGAGGTGGTGCTGGCTGGAGAACAGACGATGGGAGGGGGCTTCACTCCACCTTGGGTCCCCCCCCCCCACCCCACCTCCTCGTCTTCTTCCTCTCAGACACAAACAGGGAGGCTGCAGAGGAGCCGACGGAGGTGACCGGGAGATGAGCCGAACCGCGGTCGTCCTCTTCCTGTCAGCGGAGATAAACGCTCGTCATGGCGCGGGGGTGACGGGGGGAGAAAGCGCGGAGCCTCTGGGGGGGGATTAACGTGGCGACGGGGTGAGAGAGCATCGCTCGGCAGCCGGTCGGCGAGCCTCCGTCTGTGTGGAGCAGACAGCAACAGCAGACTGCAGGGCTGACGAGAGGACGAGCGAGAGAGAGAGCGTGTGTGTGTGTGTGTGTGTGTGTGTGTGTGTGTGTGTGTGTGTGTGTGTGTGTTTAAAGAGAGCGCAGGCAGGGAGGAAGTTGGTCCTCTGATCTCTTCTCTCTGCAGTCTGGAAGCCTCACAGTCTTCCTCCTCCTCCTCCTCCCTCTCAGCGGGGTTGGTCCAGCTGACCTTTGTCCTACTTCAGACTCCGAAAATGAGTCAGCAGGGAAGACTCCGAGTTTTCCCGGTGTGGAGATCACAGGAGTGGCGGTCACGACAGCACAGTGAGTTCATTTAGAGCAATGGTGGCAAACATGTGGTGCTGGGGCCAGAAACAGGCCACCCAGGGTCCAAATCCGGCCCACAGGAACATCAGAGATCAATGGACGTCTGCACGTATCAAGGAGACCACTTTTTATTTCTGTAGCACAGCATTGATATAATTTTGATAAATCTAGAATACAACATTTTTCTTTAGTCATTTAAATGTTATAGATTAAAAACTATGATTTATAACACGCAGCTGTAACCTGCACTCATCATTTGTTTTTAAATGGCTGTTATTATTCTGCGATTTTCACTTCATTACGTGATTTTGTACATTTTCCTTTTAAGGTCATAAACCTGAGAACAGGAAGTACAGATGAGTCCAAGTCTGTCACATGATGAAGCAAAGTGTCCGTTTCATTAACATGCACCGTCAGCATCAGAGTCACATCACTCTACGTCAGCTCTTCGTTCTTTACTGCCTGCTAAAAAAATATATCCGTATGTAAGTGGTGCTAGTCTGAAGCTGGGCCAAAATGTCCGTCTGGTTTTATCCACCTGCTCGCCTGCTTCCTTTTGTCCAAACGAAATAAATGTTTTCTTATTAAAGTATGGTGCATATACTGCATTTAAAACTGTCAAACAACTTTAATTTGTATAATTTTTACTAGATTGATATCAAGAGTCTAAAGTTGTGGTCATGTTCTTAATAAAACAAGACTTTCTGGTGAATCATGTTTGTCTCAATTTTAGTCCTTTAAAGGTTTTCTGCTGTAAGCGCCGTGTTGGGCCTGAGGTCACTGATGAAAACAGTGATTAAAAGCTTCTCTTACAGACACTAAACCTCTGACATGGTGTCCCACCAGGCTCTGCCCAGGACACGCCTTTCAAACAGTTACCTGATCCATAAGCCAGAGGAAACACACCTGTACGATGATGACACCCCGCTTCACGTAGCAGCTGATCCTGATGACCTGAGGCCACCGTGTCCTTTAAACCAGGCTGTGGATGAACCCCAAAGACCAAACTTCATTTTATACAAAGAGAAGAGAGCGATGAGTCAAAAGCTTCACATTTATTTGATCTTAAGATGAATTTAAGAGTAAATATGTTGAGTAGAAGTTCTGAGGTCAAGACTCTGAGTTGTACCGAGGTTTGGATTTTTCTTTGGTACTCAGTTTGTTGCACACTTTCACTGTTTCTCGATTACACGAAAACTAATGAACCAAAGTGGTACAAACGGGGCAAAAGGAGGAGCGCGTTTGGTCCAGATGCAGAACATAGTGTTTAAGGGAAGCATTGAAACCTGTTTGCAGCAGAAACCTTAGTTTCAGGAGAGAAAACCTCAGTAAAACATGTTAGAAATGCATTTTTTAAATAAATTAATAAATTATCTCACTGATGTGATGAAGAAGAAAACCTGGCACAAACTTTAAACTCATGTAAGTTTGTCTGCTGTGAGATCGGCCACTCGTGTTTCTTCTTACAGTGTATGAACCGATCATAAATGCTTAAATGAACACGTTTTCCCCGCCATCCACCGAGTTTCCCGCTCAGGAAGACGTCCGCACCGACATTGAACGGTTTCCCTGAAACTTCATAAAGCTTTAAATAGAGCTGGCCCGTCCTCCCCGGACCGACGTGCAGCGGAGACGATGAAGGAGCCCTCGTTTCATGAGCTCTGCTGCTAAATATACTTGAGAGCAGCTGTAAATCTTTCTGTTGGGGACGAAGAGGAGGGCAGCTCTCCATTTTATCATCACCCCCTCACAGTGTTACTGAAAGCCTCACTAAATCGTTCCTTGTCCTTCCGTGCAGGTTCACTCCTCCTCCTCCTCCTTCTCCATTTTCCTGCCGTCTGGATTTTCTTTGTCGACATTCATCTCCTGTGTTGCCATGGCGCTGCTGAGGACAGCGAGTCGAGTGAGAGGTGGAGAAAACGAGATGAAAAAAAAAATGAAAGGGACAATAAACACAGGGGCGTACAGTACGTCCTCGCGGCCCTCGCCGTCTTTGTGGGATGTGACAGTCCGTTTGCTGCGTTATCGCCGTGGAGGCGGTGGAGATAGCATCCACCTGCTGACGTCAGGCAGGGCGGCCGCTGCAGATCAAACGTTTAAGAAACAATGAAGAGCTGGATGAAGAGATTCCTCCAAAGAGTGTTGGAGGTGCTGAAGAGTCTGAGGCACAAACAGCTGCACTGATCAGGGCCAGAACCCCCCCCCCCCCCCCTCTGTTCTTTATCTTTGGACAGTTGCAGGTAAAACATGTGGAAAACAAATCAGTGACATTCAGTAAAGCTGCGGGACAGCGGGAATCGAACAGAGACCTGCTGCTGACTCATCGGCACGCCTGCCAACACAGGAAACTCCTGCAGTTTGCAAGACCCTCAAACTTCACTACAGATAAGTTGTGCACACAGCCAAGTTTGCGGTTTGGTCTACCGTTGCTCACGTTTCCTGCACTCTGCACATTTCACTCTCAGCTCCTGCTTCACCACCAAACGTACCACAGCAACCAGTGAGTCGAGATGTGTGCGGCTCTTTGCATGTGCGACATGAAGACTTACAGATTTCACAGGTGTGAGCTTGTAGAATGAATACCTGTTAATGCACACACTGAAAACAGAAACGTCTCCTTTAGGTCACGCTGAAGACGATGTTTAGTCCATTTAAATCGACCTCGGGTTAGAGGTTGGTGCGGGTCGTTTGTGCAGGTGTGATTGAAAACAAACCGAACCAAAGCTACAGGTTTACAAACTCATCGACCGGATCAGAGCAGAGCAAACGACCCACAGGTGAGAAAACGGCCTGAGATCACTTGTGTGACTCAAAACATGCAGGACTTCATCTGCACTGAGTCACTGAGACAGTCAGCTATTACACCATCACCCTTTAAAGCCGGTCGGAGCAGCACGCTCCGTTTTGGTAACCATTTTTAAATCCCTGTAGAACCAGAACCACGTAGCTAGCTCAATAATTTTTTTTTTGCATATGAAACCGGAGGAGTTGTACTTACATCTGATGCCATCAGCTTGTCCTCGGTCACGGTTTCCTTCCACATAAAGCTTTGCAAAAATTACATAAAAAGCACTTGCAGTAACAAAACTTAATATTCCAGAAACACGCTTTACCGATCAGCTGTTTGTAACACTTCCTAGGTTGGAATAGACGTCAGCGCGAACTATCGCATGTCCACCATTTCCTGGCCGAAACCGAAATGTAGTTTTGTTTTGTTTTTTTACTTATGGGCCTTATAAGCCTATACTGGTGTTTTTAAAAGTCATGCTGGACTTCATGCTTTTCTGAATAGTTGCTGGGATGCTTAGAACTGAAATTGCACTGCTTTAAATAGTTTATTTTGATGCACGTGCCGTTTTCTTTGCAAAATTGCATTATAATATTTATTTTTGTTTTTTCTGCAGTATATAAAAATTGGTGTATCTAAAAAATAGAACTATGAAGACACTCAAAATAAATTTGCTGTTGCTGGAAACTATTTTTTGCAACTTTTCTGTATTTAAAGTTTTGAGGGATAAGCCTCTTAAATTTCTCCAAGTAGAAATATGTGTAAAAAAACAAAAAACAAAAACGATTTTCAATTTTTTTTGTAGTTTAGTGCACTTTTTTGCAATTTATGTAGTTACTGTGGACTTAATGCAGACATATTACTAAAATTTGGGCTGTAACGGTTGTATTGATATATAGCAACTTGAAATGCTCCCACAAATGGCTCCACAACATGTAAAAATATAAAGTAAGCTCTGGCGGACTTGGTTCTATGGCAGGGTTAAACACCAGAATTAGCATGTTAGCAAGCTGTACGGGTGCATCACACAGACACCGGCTCACTGACGCTCAGTAACCTCCAAATACAATCCTAACAGTTCCCCAGCGCTCGCGCTCAGACTTCTTGGACGGCCTGTTGGTACACTAACCTCACAGCAGCCATATTACTGTCAGCTAATGTCACTAAACACGCTCCAAAACACTCCCACAGCACAAACACGCACAGAGCTAGCAGCTACAGCCGCCTGTGTCACCATCCACCTGTCAGCCAAAGAGGCCACGCCCCTAAAAATGCTAATTTATTACAGTTTAAACATGTGAGTTTTTACCACAGAGCAAATCATTTGTAATCAGAGCACGTCGTGCTTCAGATAGGTGTGAAACATGATGGCGATGTGAAATAATACAGCAGTACCAAGAAAACAACCCGGCGGGACAGGAAGGTGAGGGGTGGGGGTTTACCTGGATCGGGGGGTAAGGGTTGGAGGAGCAGGAGGGGAGGGGGCTTTCCTCTCCGTGGGGGTAGAGAGTGGAGGACGTAGGGGAGGGGAGCTCCGGGTGATGCTGTCCTAAAGTTGAGCCGTCAAAGATGCACTCCAGAGACGCTACCTAAAGGACAGAGGAGCAGAGGAGGAGACACGGCGGCTCGCTCAGACACGGCAGGAGGAGCGTCACAGACAGACAGGCACGGAGGAGCGCTCAGGGAGGCGTCTCCGTACGGATGAAGGTGACATGTTTCTACACTGAACGACCAAAACAACACAGCAAACACTGGACAGACAAACATGGTTCCCTCTGATTGGCTAGTGCACTCGTCTCCACCACCTTTCTGCTTTAACGATAGTCGCAGACACCTCCACCCCCGGGGGCCGCACACATGCGAGACCTGATCCAAGACTTTCGGTCAGCAGGACCTTTTACCTTCGTTCATCTGCAGATTCAAACCGACACTCTGTAATTTACATCAACTTCCTCTGAGTGCACTTCCTGTCAGAGGGCAGATTCACCCCATCATGTGATGTTACTGCAATTTAACATTTTCTGAACAATTTGTACTATTGTGCAAGAACATACTGTGATTTATCACTATTTTAAACTGAAGTTAAACTTTGTCAGTTCAGTTTTATTTATTTATACGGCGCCAAATCACAGCAACAGTCACCTGCAGGTCCTGTAAGGCAGACTCCACTACAATAACTTCATCTAACAGCATAATGGTTCTCACTGCAAAATGAGACTGACAGACATGGACACAATGAACGTAGCACAGTCAGTTTAACCTTAACCAACAATTTACTGTGAGAAATCATAGAAAATCACATCTCTGTTGCAGTCTGTCCACACAGAGGTTCACATGTAGTTGTTACACGAGTTTGTCTGTTCTACATGAATCTAGCAGGATGCCTGCAGCTGCCTGACAGACTCATTCAGACCCAACCGGCTGTCTGCGTTTGTAAAGTAGATGCACTCATTTGCAAACCTTTGACAACGAGTGCAGTCAGAGTCAGACTGCCACTGTTTGCAGAGAGGTTGCCCTCTCGCTTGTAGTATTCAGACTGCACACAAAATATTGCAATGCTTTGCTGTTTCGATTTTTCACCAGCCTGAAAGGTTAATGCTGTAAAACGGGATGTTTTCATGCACGCTACCATCTTTGGCTAACCCCGACCAATCAGAAGTCACTGCCTAAAGACAATTTAGTGCTTTTAGACAGTTGGGCCCAGCTGAGAGACTGAGGGACTGTAGGCACTTAAAGCCTGGCTGCTAATACAGAGAATAAGCTGTATTATTTTTATCTTAATATTCATGACAAACTCTCGATGAGCTGCAGCAAATATACAACTCTAGGCTGATAACTGATTCTATTTATTGAATTTTTGGTTAATTTCCACCAAACAAAGAAAAATTATTGTTAAAAGGGACGATTTGAACATCTCGCCAGAGTTAAACTCAGAGCTGGACATCATCTCGCATACCGATGTTTACGCACACAGAGCGCCTCGATGGTTTGAATCTGTAGATGAGACCTGACGAGAAGAATAACAGAACATCATCAGAGTCTGAACATCATTACAAATGAGGTCAGATCTGCTTTAAGAAGAAATCTGAGGGAGAGGAATCACAGAAACCTGAGAGTTCACAGGTGAGCGAGCGATAAACTGATAAGGAGGACAACGAGGAGGAGGAGCTTTGATGGATAACGGCGTGACCACAGGTCAGGAGAAGATCAGTGATCAATGAGCCTGCTGAGGTTTGTCTTTTTTATTCAGGTCGATTTATTCAGTAGAAACAAAAATGGGTCAAACATTTATGACTTGATTGATTCTGCAGCACTTTCTGGTTCATTTCTGTTACTTTGAGGCTTTTACTGGACGGCAGGCTGAACCCTCTCAGAGACGAGTCCGTCACACTGTCAGGACCGAACACACGAGTCCGAATCAGGCGTGAACGCTGCTGCAACACACGTGTGGAAAACCACATACAACAGGGACACACAGTGAACAGGTGAAGGCTACAACACATTACAATAAACCTCCAACTACACCACAGAACTGCAGCCCAGAGGCCGACGTTAGCTCACACACAAACCAAAACAGCTTTGACTTCATTCTCCTCATCCAGTGTTTAACATCTGGCCCAAAAAAGCCTCATCGAGATCGGTTTCTCTCTTTAGATCAACTAAAACTTTATCGCCTGCACTGAGCGGATCTTTCTCCAACCCTCGGACCACGATGGACTCACGTGAACAGAGTTTTTTATTCATGCCTTCTGCTCTCTGAGGCTTATCTGACGCTGGTCCGACTGTTTCAGCGAGTTTGGCTGGTCAGATGTGAGAATGCGCGTCCTTCCCTTCGATCGACGGAGCGTTTGAACCGTTTGCAGCTCGACTGTTTCGTGTTCGCTGTTTTTTCTTTCCTTTTCTTTTTAACGGTAATTGTTTCCTGCATAGAAACAAAGTTTAGTGGAGTTTCTTCTCACATCATCTCAAATCTTTATACCAAACACAGTGCTCCTCTCAGCTCTCCACAGTTACTGTGGTGCATTTTTATTCCAGGAGTTCCAGATGTTCACGTGAACCTGTGTTGGCGTGAGCCGTGTTTTCAGCACGAGCAGATTCCCAGTTTTGACGCTGTGGACGCCGATGTTAAGCGTTACTTTGACATAATTATGTCAGCCGCTGTCTGAACTATGTGGACGTGCCTTATCTTTAAAATTAACGAGCTTTTTATTCTGTTTCAAAGAACAAAGCATCAAAAATCTGACAGATCTCGAAAGTCTTTAGAATGAACACAAATCTTTCTATATTAAGAGAGATTATAAAACATGACTTTGTTTTCATTTCCCTCGTTCATGTGATTTATGATGTAATACCCTTCACAAACACTGGGAGGCAGTCACCTACAGATTTCATACAGATCTCATATTTAAAGCACGAGACATTAAAAAGAAATTAGAGACATTTTTGAGATTTCTGTTAAATAAGGTTTAAATAAGAGACTGAAGCCTCAAAGAAAGTCGGGTTCGATCCACCTGGTGCGGCATCAACACCCTCTGTGAGGGCGCTTTGGCCTCGTGCTGCAGATGATCTGATCTCCACACGATGGCAGCAGAGCTCCATCTGCGAGTCACAGCCACCCAGCTTTGATCTGATCCCATGTTCTCCGTTACCACGAGCAGTGCAGCGTGAAACGGGTCAAACCTCCGTGAAATATCACATCTCAGCTAATCGGAGATCGGATTAATCAGCTCTGAGCACGAAACACGGAGGCAGATTTCAGGCAGGAGGCCTTTCCGTTTGTTCTCTGGCGCCGCTGCACACTGATGAGGAAACACATTTATGTGACAATCAGCTGGAAATACAGCGACATCTCACCGAAGCAGCCTTTGGTTTTTATTTAAACTGATCTTTTATTAAACGATTTATTCATCAAACATGGGAAGAAAAAGTCATTTTAATGACTATTTATAATTCATCACCTTCTTTGTCAAGAACGGCTTAAACTGAAGGTTATTTTCTGTATCCGCTTTATTTTTACAAACTTAAAGATAATTTCAAACGTTTTGAAAGCGTTAAAGAGATTTTCAGTCTTACTTTAACAGCTCGTCAGAAAAAAGCATCTTTCTAAATACTGTCCACTTGTCCCTAATTAATCGGCCAAGCTACAAAAACACTGGATCCTACACTTCCCATAATGCACCGTGACAGCTCTTCTCCACAGACGACGGGCACACACATTAACGTGGACGTGTGGAGTTGGTGAAATGCTCCTTTAACGGCACACACAGTCGTTATGAGAGTAACGTGGAGGCCCGAGCGGCGACAGACACAAACACAGCGGGCGCTGACAGAAGCAGCACGAACAGGAGGCAGAGTCACATGACTGGGAGCACGCCAAATTCCCCTGGTCGAGCTTCCAGGACGGCGAGAAACAGACCGAGCGCGATCTGGTTTCCAAACCGAGGCCCGGCTGTGAGAGAAGCTGCTCACATCACACGAGGAAAGTGTTTAAATATCAGCTCGTGCTTTTGTCCTGAAGCGTTTGAGTCACCTAAATTATTTTCAGACTGGGAAAATCCGGGAAACTAGTAGGAAGCTCTAACTGGGCGTTCCAGCAGCCAGGGCTGCTACTTCCCTCTCAATGTTTGGATGAAACATCAGGAGCTGGATGAATCCATGTTTGACAGAATTTCTGTCCTTTCACATTTATGATCGCACAGCTTTGATTCTGTTCATGGAAAACTTTAGGAAGCGTCCACTAGTGGGAACTCCTGGACGGCCTCAACATCGAGACCCCAAACATCTAATCCTGTAGGTTTACCTCAAGGGGAATTCTCAGGCTCCGCCCACAATACCATGCAGTGATCTCACCTGGACTTTTACCTGCTGCAGCTGTAACACTGAAACGTGGACCAGAGGAATTTGAAAGGTGTGTGATGGCGTGATGACAGGAAACAGGTGTGAGCTTCAGAGCAGCGTCAGCATTTTAATGGGTCACATGATGCAACACATACAAGCAACAAGCCTCATCCTCCACGTGTGTGTGTGTGTGTGTGTGTGTGTGTGTGTGTGTGTGTGTGTGTGTGTGTGTGTGTGTGTGTAAAACAGATTAAGACATTTATACTCATTTTATGACAAAAACCTGCTTCGTCGATTGATCGACTGATTAATGCGGCGACTGATTGGTGTGAACACATAAACACGAAAAGTCGCCATCAGGAAACAAATGTAAAGACATGAGAAACACATGAAAACATTTAACTTCACTGGCATTTTAACAAACTCTGGTCAGAATATCAGGCTCGTTCGTGCACCATGAAACGTTCCCGTTACATGAATATTTTATGAGCTGAAATCTTGGATTTTGCCTGAATGTTGGCTCAGCCAGGTCTTTTCAGAAGGACCGTTGGACTTAAAAACATTACATTAAAAACCTCCAGAAGCAGGTTTTCACTGAAACTGAGAGCAAGCTTTTTATTTGCTGCAGCTACAGAACATAATGCTCATCAATGATCTGACTGTGACGGACGTTTTAACGTCTGAAATGAAGGCCGTGGCTCGCTGACTGTTTGAAAGAGAAGCCAGTAAAGTCGCCATTTGGACCAATGAGAGAGACGGGAGGCTGAGACAATGCCATCTCCTACCTTCATCGGTGAGATGTGAGCGTGGGTGACGTAGCCGTGCACATTCTCGATCAGGGAAAGGTTCTTCTCTGCTACCTGGACCAGCTCTGGGCCCCCCGCCTCCTCCGTCAGCTGGGGGGAGCTCTGGTCCTGGGGGGACGAGTCCTCATCGTGGTGCCTGTACTTCTGCAACAGGAAAACACAAAAATCAGCAAAACGGGGCCAACAGCAATGCAACAACAACTCTAGTTCAATGAGTTGAACCGCTATGAGCAGCGACAGCGGGGAGGAAGAACCACCAAAAGAATCAGGCTCGGGGAGGAGCAGCTGTCACGATTATACACGACACATCTTCATGAAACTCTCCACTCGAGCGCAACAACAGTGCAGGCGGCTCCACCATGTGGTGAGAATCAGTAATTACGGGTTCATTATTTACAGAGAAGAAAACGCAACAAACTAACAAAACAAAAACCTCAGCGTAAAGAAGGGAAAACAAAGCGATAAAAGACAAACAAACCAGCAGAGACATATTTAAAACCTTTTTTGTAATAAATTTTAAACCCAAACATGAGCTACCCTGCTTTTCTGTGTTTCACCTTTCTAAACAGGCAGTTTTTGGTCAGTAATGTGACCCACGGGTCCACAGAGCCAAAATTCTGGGGGCTCTGATTGGCCTTGGTGAGCTGGAGGTGTCACCAAGTGAGTTTGTTATTCCCAGGAAGGAATTCAGAAAGAAGGCCAGCGTGGCAGAGCCGATCAGCCACTAACCAGAAGGTCGGTGGTTCGATCCCAGGCTGCTCCAGTCTGCATGCCAAATATACTTGGGCAAGATACTAACCCATGTTGCTCTCCGATGCATCCATCGGAGTGTGAATGTGTGTGAATGTTAGATACTTAAGCTTAGAAGTGCTTGTGTGAATGGGTGAATGAATTAGTTGTGTAAAGCGCTTTGAGCGCTCAGACAGAGTAGAGAAGCGCTATATAAGAACCAGTCCATTTAAAGGATAATCCTTCTCTGACCCTCTGACTGCTTTTCTCAACAAAAGGAGGTGACTCACTGCTCGTCAGCACCAAACCCTTGTGACTGAATCATCGGTGCAGGTGAAGAAAACCTGTGCAAGAGAAGAAACTCAAGTCCCAGAGTGCACCTCTCCAACAAACATCCAATCACAGCTTGGGTCTCTGTTGTGGTCAGAGCTCCAGTCGGTGTAGTTTATAAAATAAAAACGAGGATATAAATGGAAAAAGAGCAGAAGTCCTCCTCGGAGGCCTCGTCCGTTGATCGGCAGCCTTCACATCTTGATGAGTCAGAGCTCTCCAGTCTTACTCATCTGTTTTCTGGCTTCGGGAGGAGAGACGCTCAGTGTGACAGGTGAACGACTCGACGGTCCTGCACAGACGCGCTTACGTAACCAAACCGAGTGATGGGCACTTTTCAGAGCGCCGACTCGCTGAGCGGGAGGAGGACATCAGAAACCTGAAGGACATCACGGAGGTGTAACAGGAATTCAACCGACTGAAAACATTTCAACCAAAAACTAAGATTGCAGGATTTATTGGTTTCCTAAATTCATAAAGTTTCTGTATGAAAGTAAGTCTTTCTTTTCCCCATTAAAAAAAGAAAAAAAAACCCAGTGAAGGAGCTACGGACTTAAACGCTTCAGCAGCCAATCACGTTGCTCGATCTGAGGGCAGTGGTAACATTGTTGCAACCTTCCGTCTGTGTCGGCCTGACTTTAAGAAACACTTTTATGGACTAAATTCGTCTCCAGTCCACTGAGAATTAAACAGCTGAGACAAACTGTGAGAACATGCAGGCAGCTCGCCCACGCTCAGGAAAATAGAAGTTAATGCAGCTCCAGTAAGTGCTGCGAAAGTAAAAACACTCAGTCCACCATCTGAGGCTCGGCTAAAGAAACATCAGCGCGTTTTTATTATTATTTCATCTCAACACTTCGAAGAGTCTTTGAGGAGTCTGAAAAGAAAAATGCGAGTGTTTCTAATTGAACACGAGGAGCGTTAAACGAGCCCCAAAGGACAAGAACTAAATTCAGAAATGAGAGTGAGACCAACAGAAGTCGATTTAAAAGACTGGATACGTGTGAATCCCGACCTCAGAGACTAAAACAGTGTTTGTTTCAGTTCTAAAGAAAGTCAAACTGTGCTCAGCTCCAACATAATGATGAGTGTGGCTGATAAATGGAGACAACACCAGCGCAGCTTTGGAGGGTTACCGACGCCGGGCAGTGTCTTCTTAGGCTCGTATACACACAGCAGCACAGGAAGCGTTTCAGGTCACATGACACAAACAGACACGTATGATCACAGCTCTGGTTTAGCCACAGTTTCATTTGTGCTGTAACACTAAACAGTTTCTTTATAACTGCTGAGCTACTCCAACGCTTACATCCTCTTCACTCACAGCTGGATCGGCATTTCTCAGCCTCAACGTCTTATTGTTTGGTTTTAATATCGGAGCAAAGAGAATAATGCAGAGAAAATCCAAGGGTTTGAGCTCTCTGCTGGTTTTCATTCTGCCTGCTTCAGAGTCGGAGAAATGGTTTCTGAGGAAATCCTCGGCTTTCAGGGGCTGTTTTCACTCAGGGATTTTAAAGAGGGGGAATTATTCAACTTTAATGGGTTAAAAAGGGGGGGGAAAAAATCAGGAGTAACCTGAGTACATTTATAACGTGCTGACAGGATCTCGGGATGATTTCAGAGCCGGGTGTTGGCTCCAGTGTTTTGGCTTTTTCTCGATCAGGGTCTCAAACACTGATCCCGCTTTGCTGCTGTCGGAGGTTTTGCCGTGAGGCAGATTAGTGAAACCCTGACGGCGCTCTAAGAACCTCGGAAACTTTCAGCAGCAACTTCAAAGACATGCTAAGCTGCGGCTGAACGGGATTATCCCACGCCTGATTGGCTGTGGGCCGGATCAGCCGGCAGGTCAGAGGCTGAGCTGTTGGACGAGCAGCGCCTCAAACTGCAGACCTCCCATCATCGCTGAGGGCCTGAACCTTTAACGCCTCCGTCCTCCCGATCCCTCGGCTGACCGGCGCAGAGCCAGCAAACAGCGCGAAGGGCAACACCTCCGTTCATCAGGCTGAGAGGCGCCAGCCGGCCAGCGTTTGGTGAATTCAAGAAGGACGACGACAGCTGGCACAGAGGCGGCAGCGGCACGCAGACGACACCCACAGATGTAGAGTGTGAATCTGAACAAGTCTGAGGCACAGCGACTCATTTCAACTTCATAACAGCACCAAAACTCTGGTGTCAACACGGCCTGGTCTAAACCATCCACACCACGACTTCCAGCTGCTGAGTGCCATCACATTCTTCAAAAACCTCAGTCTCATTTGAAATGTCTCTGATGCAGCTCTCAGCAGCATCGTCAGATTCATGTTTCAAACTACAGCAGTCCCCCTGATGTCGGTGCAGGTGCCTCCATCACACCTTCATCCTGTCAGACTGGCTGAATTACAGCTGAGCTGCTGTTACAAAACCTGTGTAGGTCTGTGAGGCTGCAGGAAGCCTGACTGTGAGCTGATGTTTCTCAGATCCAGCAGGAAGTCCAAATGGAAATGAGGTCGAGGCTGCGTCGGCAGCAGTCGGATCTGCACAGACATGGAGTCTGATGCTGACCTAACCAGACTGCCGGCTCTTTATGGAGGAACCGGCTGTGGAGGCGTCAGCTTTTCTCTCACTGTCACACACAGGCTGAGGATGGCAGGACACACAATTCTGATCAGAGGAAGACCAAAACAAAGATGCAAAAACTAGCAGCAGATGGCGTGGTCCCCACAGAGCTCCGATCTCTGCATCATGAAGCCGGTCTGAGAGGAGAGACACATGATTAGCCCAGCTGGGACAAACACAGAGGAAGGTCGCAGGAAGCTCAGCGCTCAGACATCCGGCCGTGAGAAGCAGCTCGAACTGTCCAGTCTGAGATGATCGTCCTGGAAAAACACTGGAGTAGTTTCTGTCTCCGAGTCGTGTTCAGCACTCTTGACTGCTTCCACCAAACCTCTGTCATTTTATCAAACTGAAGCTGTGATTTCTGCCTCCACGCCTGCTTTAACTGCTAAACAATGCAAGACACCGCTCAGCTGTTAATGACAGCACCACACAGAGGACTGTGTGTGATGTCACGACCACTGTAGCTTATTCTATGGAAACGAAACAGTTTTCTCCTCGTCCACTGAAAACATGGATGATGCCGCCATGAGTCACCCGTCGACTTGCTGAAGCTCTGAAGGTTCAGAGTAAGGTCGCTCCAAGGACTATATTTAAAACAAACCTGTGTAAACTTCAGAATAAGTGGATAAATAAGTGGATTAGCTCAACTCTTCTAAACATGCACAGCCTGGCTGCTTATGAATACAGTGATGAGGGAGGCGTCAGCTCCAGAGACCAGGCTGTAAACATCTTTATTTCTGCTGGAGCCTCTAGTGGTCATTAGAGGAACTGTCACCCAGTGTTTGGATCGGTCTTTCTGGGTCACTTTAGTTTGCTCACTTATGACTTACAGCCAGGCCTGCTGTTTCTGTGCATCAGAGCTTAAAATCATCAAACTGAGGACAAAATCAGAAAAAACCCAAACTGAACAAGACATGACCTTCACAAGCTAAAAGGTTTTAACTTATTAGCAACTTTTTACTGTTTTGGGCTCTGCGCGGTTTCAGGTCAGCGGTACAAACGTTACGCTGAGCGGCGAGCAGGCCTCGTGCTGTAACTCAAACATGTCTGCTGACGTGTTTTTGACCTCTCTTCAGATGGCAGTTTGCTGTCACACCTCACAGTGAAACTGAATCTTGCTGCTTCAGCCTGAAGATCATCACTAATACGAACACTTTCACTTCAGTTAATCATTAAAAATAATGATTCGCTGCAGAAATCTGAAACGCAGATAACCTCGATTATGAGGAGGAATAATTTCACGGGTGCATGATTACCGTGCAGCTGGACGAGACTCGTGTTAAGCGCATGCTGCCAATCACATCGTCTGACTCACGCTTCTGCAGAACGTCCACCGATCACCTACAGCTGCACGGCCTCTGTACCTGCGTCCCCGAACAGCCGGAACCCCGGCGACGGGAGACCACCGCTGAGATGAAAACTTTTAGATTTACATTTTCATGAGCTTCTGTGACAGCAGCTGCTCGCGAGGTCAACAGTCGCACGAGTCT